CCTTTTCTGTATTTTTTTCTAAATTTTATTCCAAATTATTTTAACATTTTCCTATATTATTACCTTGAATATTTTATCATTACAATGATTTTCATATTATATTCTTTTCTTGATACTACTCTTAATTATTATTTTCCAGATTAACTAATGAAAAAAAACTGGACGATTTTGATGAAAGTTTTTATCATTATAATGATGATAGTACCACGTGATCACATTAAACATACTAAAATTAACAGCTGCACGGCAAAAGGTTTATTTTCAATTTCATCAAAATTTGAAAAAATAAGATGGTCAAAATTTGGTCAAATCTTTCCTCAAAAACGTCTGTACCCGTTATCGGTTAACCGTGCTCATGCCACTTACTCCTAGGTTTATTATGGAAGTTGAGACATATTTATTTCCACTACCTGTATGATATTACTCAATTAAATATATCATTTGATTAATTTATTATACTACTAGTTATAATTTATATAACCTCTGCCACCAAGGTCGATTCTCTTCGACTTTTGAGATAATCTCTTGAATGTGAGTCACCATCAGTCGCGTCACAGACATCAGACGCTTATTATTATTATATTGAAACCACTATGGAGCAAATACACAAAATACAAATACGATTAACAAAAAACAAGAACGAGAAAAAAAAACATCGTGACACGATATAAATACAATGTGGTCGTATGTAAGGTCAGTTCGCTTTTTGACGGATATGTGCTAATGACACATTCAATGTGTTTGTTAGTTTGTATACGATTTTAACACCCGAATTTTTGTTTCGTTATTCAATTTAATATTATCTGTTATGAGCGCATGTTTCTGAAATGATTTCATCAAATGTATTTGCATTGGTTATTACTACCATTTTGCAATATTTTTGCAAAGTATGGACAAAAGTAAATTTTTGGAAATATAGGCGGCCGATTCTGCAGTAAAATAGATCAATGTTATGGCAAAACTATGATACAAAATTTCATACAAAATGGTACTAAATTTGTCAAACTTGCCATAACTAGGGTCTATTATACGATAGAATCGGCACCATAATCAATAAGGTAATAGTCCCGGATTTCCACCTTGTATCCCGGGTTTTCCTAAAATCAATATTTGTCCCGGATTGTCTCGGGTTTTCAAAAATTCAAGGTATAAACTTAGTTTTCGCAATTACTTCATGATGAAATTACAAATATCCATCAAATGTCTGAAAATGATGTAAAACAATAAGTTATGAAACAATAGGTCATGAATTGGAAAATTTTCGAATGCAAAATACCAAAGTGTTAACATAGAATCTCTCATTGATGGTTTCGGACTCAGATATTCAATTTTACGCAAAATAGCAATTTTTGTCAAATTTTTCAAATTTCAAAATTTAGCTAAAATACAAATCGAGTTTTTGAAAGAAAGGAGTATCCGATTTGAATGGTCTAAAAAACATTCAATTTGTAATGATTGGGAGAAGACGTAATTAGTTTTTGGCAAAGGCAGGCCCAGTCGTTTTGAAGATACGGAGCTAAATGTACAAAATATTACAGTTTTTAAGAGAACTAAGCATCCGATTTGAATGGTTCAAAAATCTTTCTGCTTGTGTTGGCAAAACAATTGCTTTTGGGATTTCAATTTTTTTGCATATCGAAAATAATTCAGATTTTAAATTTAATTCTGGCTAAAGTTCTAAAGCTCACTTATATACTTCAAATAAATAATTTCGACTTTGCAACTCAGTTTATATACTTCTTATAAATATTAGATAATGTTTATAATAATCTATTTGAAAACATTCAATATTCCTCGAATATTTCATTACGGTACGGAAAGTTCCAGCAATTTGCCTCAATGCACGATGCCATACATCACCAGTTTAATTTTTATTTTTGTGGTATTTACAAATGCCACCTACATCACAGTCAGTATACAAAGTTTGAAATTTAAGGCTCCAGGCGAAATTTATGGAAAGCTTTCGCTCTTTAAGAGCAATAAATTTGTGTTGCAATCATGTGTTACTATTTAAATCGCTCTTAAAATAGGATTTTGTTACAGATGCATAGAAAATAGACCAAAAGCATCATATTGTCGCGATTTCAGTGATGTAAATTCAAATAAATAAATAAATACTGCTAACAAGCTAGCTAACCTGCATTTGCCGCGAGATGATTTGCATTTTTTTTTTATTAAGTGAATTGATTATTCAATTCACATAACTTACCTTGACAAAACTAGTTTTGTATGTGAAGATCAAATCAAAAATTTTCAATACATGTTTGAAATATTTTACAGTTGTTTGCAATATGATACAAAAAATCATATGATCTGAAAAGGACTTTATTTAATCAAGGTTAAACTGCATGCTTCTTTATAAATATATATTGTAGATGAAAATACTTTACGGAAATCACGTGCAGTTATTTGAAATATAGTGAATATCATGAAATATGCGATTTGAATAAATAATAAATACATTTAAATAATTTGAATCGTAGATGGATCTTGTCTTCCTAGAATGCACAGTGAATAATAAATCGTTTTTTATTTTGATCTTCAAAGTTCTGGTGAACGTACCAGAATGATATTATCATGATTAGAAACAAGTTATTTTCATTTCGAATGTAATAGAAATATTGTGTAAATATGTTCATCCTCATTAATACATCACATTAAAATCAAACTATCTATTTATTTATTTATTCATTTTTTTTGAACTCTGTTTTATTTAGCATTTATGAACAAGATTTATTTCTCTTACCGTCATAGATATTTAAATGGTCATTTAATGTCTATTATCCAGAGATAAGTAAAATGTTTTGAACACAGTAATTACTTTGTTCTATAGTGACTTCGATAGAATTTTGCCATAAAATACCATTCTGTTACAGTATCAGCAATGTTGATAAAGTACTTTTGCATTCAGGTCAATCGTTATTACATTTTTATGCAGACTCGAGAAAAACGATAATGTTCCTTGGCAGTATTCGAGAATGTACTATATTTACATCGTTTTAAAATCGAGGGAAAATATTTAGTTATTGATCTAAAATAATTAATAATATATACAACTAGATGACCCGGCAGACGTCGTCATGTACCCATGTCTACAATTTTTTAATATAATATACTAATATTTACCGTTTACCTAAAATTAATAATTATTGTTTTGTAAATTACTCTTCACGCCAAAATGCATATACAGTAGGCCCTCGCTTTACACGGCATTCTGGGTACACGGTTCCCATACTACACGGAGCTAAAAATCCGACATCCCTCCGACTACACGGACTTTTTATTACGCGGTATTTGGTCAACAGCCCATAAGTTCGTTGTGCAAAAGGGTATTGATGTAAATTTTGTTATCGACTTTTATCTTTTAGACATGCCTGATTGTATAATAGCCGCCTAAGAACACGTTTGAGCTGACTACTGCGTCGCGCCAATTTTTGAATAAGGTGTCAATGTCCTACACGTCATTTCGTCCGTATTTCTCCTACTTCAAGTTGTATTTCTTGGTCTCCATACAACGCGATAAAAATGGTGCGATTTGTACCAACTCTGAGTCTCTCATAACACGGTTCCCATACTGCACTATGTAAGGTTCCATAGAACGCACTACGAATTAGCCTGAATTGTATGGTAAATACGAGTTTCTTATAGCATGGTTCCTATACTGCACGGTACGCACTTGCCGCGTAAAGCGAGGGTTTACTGTACATTTTTAATATGAGCGATGTTAAATGTAGAACTGCTTTAAATAAAATGATGAGTCTCAATTCTCACACTATGTTAGAAATTGAAGTCTTTTAAACGGTATAACATAACCATAACCATAACATAACACTGCTACTTCATGTTGGATTAAATTAATTTAATTTTTTTTTATTTAAGATATTCAAAATTGCATCTTAAACTTCTCCTAATCGATATCGTGAGAGCCGAATTGTATGTATTCATCTTTACTTTCCCATTTGTTGTTATAAAGAGAATTTTTTACGAATTTTAAAAATATTGTGGAAAGATTACTAAAAGATGCAAAAAAATTATGTAAAATCTACATTGAAAATTCAATATCCGAATCTTGTGTTGGCGCCCCCAAAGACGTGCGCTCGTATTTTTCGCATGCATCGTATTAAAGGTAGGACCTGCCCTGATTAATACTTAATTTCATATTTTAAGTAAATTAATTTGTCATATCCTGTTCATATGTTCATATGTTCATTCAATCTGCCATACATATACTGTATTTTATATTATTTTAATTTCTGGCACATCTCAGCTGCTTTTCGGCAATAATAATGTAGACATTTCATTTTTCTTATTCATAATCATAAATTTATTATACATATTCTAATATTGTTTAGGTTCATAAGTAAATTTTTGGCAGATGAAGGTTTCATTTATTTTCAATGTAAACAATGACATGTCGTTTTTTTGCATTTTTTTCCATTTATTTCTATAATATTGCACATACATCCCAGTACTTTATAATCACATACATCCTAGAAAATTTCCTTAACAAACTTCAGAAAGATTTATCAAATTTCGAATAATCGTTTAGAAGGAGTATATAGTGAGTGCTTGTAATTTAATATGAACTTCAATAGCAATGAAGCTCAAATTGATTCTACGTTTTAGTTAGAAAACGTTTGTTTGAGAAAAAGAAAAGGGCTGTTTTTAAGGTTTCCCCGTAAATTATCAGACTTTTTCTTGCCGTAAGAACCATCCTTGGACTTCAACGAACATTTAAAAAAAAAAATTGGCCAAATTGGTCCAGGCCTTGTTGCCTATTTATAGTATTATTTATAGGAATATTTATAGTAATATTTTAGATTTGTTCCAGCTTTCGTTTCCTCAAATGTTTTTCATTCGGAGTATTGAACATTCTTTGAACGTGCATTTATAAAATATATGCTTTAATAAAATCGAAAAAAGTCAATAACATTTTTTAATCATTGTTTATATAATATTGTTTATACTATAATTAATGAGTTTTTTTTTTCTATTTTCAGTCGTATGCGGTCATGGCATGTAGCTGCTAACTACCCAGAAAGGAAGTCCATTTTTGGTGTTCTACTATTGCGTCAACCTGCAAACAACACGTAATAAAACGGAACTTCTGTCCTTCGCACGAGATAACATCAAACGAATTTACTGGAACAGAATTCGTGGAAAAATTTAGTGATGATCGTAATCCACGACTTCGGTTATTCTTGAAGGAAAAAAGAAGAAACGTGATCAGTGCATAGTACTTGCACGGAATTAAATTTATAAGATAATAGATACATGTGTTTATCTACTACTACGTTCAGCATAAGGAGGAACTTACAGGAGTTGTGAAATTATATTATGGTTATTGGTTTTTTGAAACTTCTTCGGGATATAGATACTGATAAACGTTATTATTGTATTACGAGAGTGTTTTGAAAGGTGACCAAAGGGCCTATTAGTGAAGGGCAGACGAGTGCGATGAACACCGCAAGGGACGCGCAGAGTTCAGCGGCACTCGCCACTCATCAAAGGTACCACCATCAACCTGTAGGACTGACTTTTGCAGATCACGCACCCTGCTGGTAAGATAAAAATTTCAGACTATTGTCTTTAAAATTCTCTAAGAACCTATAAAACTTTATTAACTTCCCTAAGGATAAGTTTGTTTTTTGCAAAAAAAAAAATGATTTGAAAATTTTATGTTTTCTCGAATCGATTGAGACCGAATTTGAAAAAAACATGTGTGTGTATGTATGCAAGTGAACAGATAATTGACCTTTCGTCGAAAAAGGGCAGGGACGATTTCAAAAATTTAATAGCCATTCGATGTACCTCGATGAGGACTATCGTTTGTCAGCTTTGCGCGACGAACTTGGTTCTTTGTATGTAGCAGAAAAGTGTAACATCTTTCGCCAGGCAACAATCTTCAATCGATTTTGAAAATTCAAAAGCTTTTTGAAATAGTTGGGAATCGCGTCGATCAGTTTTTGATAGAGAAAAAGAAAGTTTGGCGGGATGGTTTATTTGTAATTAAATATTAAAAAAAATCTGACGATTATGATGAAACTTTGCATATTGATAAATTTTGTAGTCTTAAAGAACATACTAAAATTATAAAAAAATATTATAGTTTGGGAATCCGCCGCGTCCTTTGGCGATTCTTATCAGAATCTATTCCGAGCATATGTACGTGTTTTGTGTTTCGTAAGTAACTACTGACTACAGTTGACGTCTGAACTTAAATAAAGAACATTCTTTGAATATAAAATAGATAAAATGAAAAGTGTTGAACTAAGGTGGCCATACGCCCTGGTTTGGCCGGGACAGTTCCGGTTCTCCACTTTGTCCCGGGTTTTTCTAAAAGCAATATTTGTTCCAGATTTAGATCGTTTGTCCCGAATTGTCTCCAATTTTCGAAAGGTATAGGTCGAAATTGAATTTTTGCTATAATAAAATTATAACTATGCATCGAATATCTGAAAGTGTTATGTTCAACTCCAGAATAAGTGTTAATTATTTTTAAATAATTATGAAGAAAATTATACAAAATGTTATAAGTTTAAAACTTGAATAAAATAGATTCATAAATATAAGATAAAGTATTAAATGGAATCGATAAATGAGAATTTTTATTACTCTGATTTGAAAATACTCATCTAAAAAATACTGATTTTTATTGCATTCTTAATTAGTATTTGTTACTTCAAAATCATAAAAAAATGTATTAAGAAAGTAAGTTAATCAATTTGGTTTTTGAAAATGTTCAAAAACCATATATTATCTCAGTCATGTATGTTATTCTAAACTAAAATATATATAAAAATGTTTAAGTAAATGATACCAAATTATAGATAGGTCTTAATATAGGAAAAGTACTCAAATAATTATTAATTTGCATGGTTAGAATAAACCTTAATTTATTTAAACAATCTAACAATGAAAAGAGCTTTATTTAATTTTATTTATATCACTAAAGGGCATTATTACTTATTAATGTACAAATCTGGGCGCATTGTAAACACCAATAAACGCCAATATAATTCTTAACCGGATAATAAATTAGATGAAAGATTTTATTATATACTAAAACCAAATATTTGATTTTTGTGTATTGAATACATTTTAATATAATCTATTAAACGTTTATAGAAACAAAAATTTCAAACATAGTTTCAAGTGTTAGTGAATTCTTAATTTTGTTGTGAGTGATTCACCTATTGGGTGTGGCATATAATTAATATATCAAAATTATCTTAGATAACATTTATTTCTTTATGATGATTTAAAAGTGATTTTTATCCGTTTTTTGTCATTGTATACTTTGTGATATCATCAAAGGTTATTTAAAAAAATTCTGGTTTAGTAACAAATAGTCTTTTTATTTTTTCAAAATTTCCATAACAAATGTACCTAATAAAAGTACAATCATCTGCATATACGAGGTGTTTATCGTGGAGGCGTGCAGCTACCGTTCTAGGGTTAATGGTTTTACTTATTTATACAGTAACATGCAAATAGTTGATATGTTATACATTTATTTACTTAATTACGTTATGTAATCATTTTGAACAATGTTCAATTATTATGAATTAATATTTTGAATTTTTTTCATTTCAAGGTACATGCCGCCGACAGCACCAGCAAGACAAAATAAAAGACCACCACCACTGCCTGGAGCCTCATCCTTAGATTGCTGTCCGCCGGGAAATATCAAGTCGGATATGCATGCACCACCACCGATTGTACCTCCGCATAACAATGTGGTAAATAATAAGTGACATTTTTATTGCATTGATCTAAATATTACACCAAGTGAAAATAGCCTTTAGTGGATTCAACATCAATATTAGAACGTTTGCTGTTTTGCTGTTTTATGAATGAAATTTTTTGTTCCAGTCTTCGTCCATCCATCAGCAGCACCACCAGCCAATTTTGACAGCACAACAGAATCACCCGCCGCCTCCTTTATCCCCAAAGTCGCCAGTCAACCAATCTCAGAGTCAATTCACAATCGCCCCAATTCAGCCGCAAAAATTGTGCCTGAACAACGGCGGCCCTTCACACCTCATGTCCACGTCGATGGGTTCTCAGCAGCTCCTGGCCGCTTCTTCTAATAACTCCAGTCAAGTGATGTCCACATCGATGATTGGAGGGACAAGTGCTATTCCAGCACAATCTTTTGGAATGGATAGCGCGAGTAAAAATTTAGTAAATAATATACATCAACCGGTGCCAGTGGTTTCGAGAGTTCAATCTGTGTCGCCAACATGTGCGCAGAAGAAGGCTGAAGTTAAATTAAATGCTATGCCGTAAGTACATTGTGAAGGGATTTATTGGCAGATCAACAACTTGAATTATGATTTAATTGCAGATGGTTTCACGGCAAAATATCTAGAGAAAGAGCAGAACAGCTTTTGCAACCTCGAGAAGATGGTCTTTTCCTAGTTCGCGAGTCAACAAACTTTCCAGGAGACTATACGCTGTGCGTATGCTTTCAGAATAAAGTTGAACATTATAGAGTCAAATATCACGACAACCAATTAACAATCGATGATGAGGAATTCTTTGAAACTTTAGCACAACTTGTTGAGGTAATTAACACCCTAAATACAAAAACTATGTCATTGCTATAATTATAAACTAGATGACCCGACAGACGTTGTCCTGTACCCATGCCTACAATTTTTTAATATAATATACTAATATTTACCGTTTACCTAAAAATAATAATTAGAGTTTTTAAAATTACTCTTCACGCCAAAATGCAAATACATTTATAATATGAGCGATGTTAAATGTAGAACTGCTTTAAATAAAATGATCTGTCTCAATTCACACACTATATTGGAAATTGAAGTCTTTTAAACGATATAACAAATATAACCAGAACATAACACTAGTACTTTATGCTGGATTAAATTAATTTAATTTTTTATTATTAAAGATATCCAAAATTGCATCTTAAACTTGTCCTAATCGATATCGTGAGGGCCGAATTGTATGTATTTATCTTTACTTACCCATTTGTTGTTATAAAGTGAAATTTGTACGAATTTTAAAAATATTGTAGAGAGGCTAGTAAAAGATGCAAAGAAATTATATATTGAAAAAAAAACTATATTCAAAATTCAATATCCGAATCTTGTGTTGGCGCCCCCTAAGGCGTGCGCTCGTATTTTTCGCATGCATCGCATTAAAGGTAGGACCGGCTCTGATTAATACATAATTTCATATTTTAAGTGAATTAATTTGTCATATTTGTTCAAATGTGTATAATTCAATCTGCCATACATATACTGTATTTTATATTATTTTAATTTCTGGCACATCTCAGCTACTTTTCGGCTTAATGTAGACATTTCATTTTTCTTACTCATAATCATAAACTTATTATACATATTCTAATATTGTCTAGGTTCATAAGTAAATTGAAATTTTTGGCATATGTTAGTTTTCATTTATTTTCAATGCAAACAATGACATGTCGTTTTTTGCATTTTTTTCCATTTATTTCTACAATATTGCACAATAATTACACACATCCTAGAAAATTTCCTTAACAAACTTCAGAAAGATTTATCAAAATCCGAATGATCGTTTAGGAGTATTCAGTGAGTGCTTATAATTAAATATGAACTTTATATAATAGCAATAAATCTCAAATTGATTCTACGTTTTAGTTAGTAAACGTTTGTATGTGAAAAGAAAAAGGGCTGTTTTTAGGGTTTGTCCAGCAATTATTCGATTTTTCTCGCTGGAAGAAACATCTTGGACTTTAACGAACATTTGAAAAAAAGAATTGGCCAAATTGGTCCAAGCGCTGTTGAGTTATGCGCTTACCAACGCATTTTGCGACTCATTTTTATATATATGATATTATTATTATTACAGCATTACGAACAGGATGCAGATGGTCTATGTACTCAGTTAATTACGAGTTTACCCAAAAAAGGTAAACCAGGTTTTTGTGTAGACACGAAAGCATTCGTGGATGCTGGCTGGATGATACCTGAAAGTGAATTACAAATTAAAGAGAGCATTGGCAAAGGAGAATTTGGTGATGTAATGTTAGGCCTACTTGGAGGTCAGAAGGTTGCTGTAAAAATGTTGAAAGACTCAAGTGAAGCAGCTCAAAAATTCTTGGCGGAAGCTTCTGTCATGACGTAAGTTATAGAAATTAGATAAAAATAATATTTTCAAATTCACGTAGAGTAAGTTATTGTAATTGCCCAAAAATCTCAATTGAATGTTTTTGGATATCCACACGTTTTGAAGGTTCCTGA